AAAGCATTTCAGATTTTATTGATATATAAAATATTTGAAATACCATGTACCTGACTGTGTTTAATCAGTAGAAAACATGCAATACGTTAAATAATTCTTATATCACGAAACCGAAAAGAAACGAGTCTACATTATTCAAATTCAATCATTTGAGTCGCCTACATTTAATAGATTTTTCCCGACAGGAAACTTAATTTTATAGTAAGCAAGCTTTTACATTTTTTAACCTTGTTAATCCCCTAAAAAACGAAAATGCTTTTAGTAGCTAAATCATAAAAATAATTTTATTAAATAAATAAACATAAACAAAAATAATAATATTATTCTTAAATTATACACCATTTTTCAGTCTTTAAAGCATCATCATATTTTAATTCAAGGAAGTCAAAGTTAATATTGAACTGTTCGTGTAAAATTCTAAATTGTACACAAGGGATTCAAAATATGGAAATTTTTTTTTGTTCTTTACTCACGTACAAAAATAAAATATTCTTAGAATTATGAAAAAAAAGGAAAAACACGCATACATTTAAAACGATTATGATATTTTGCAATTTAAACCGGGTACATTATGACCGTTTTAGTTTACATCCTTTTGTTTATATTTTTATACAAAAATGTAATCATCCTCTAGTCTAATAGTAAAACGGCTAAATAATGGTGCTAAAGTAAAATAAGAGAAGGGAGAAATCGGACGAATGAGAAAATTTTTTTGTTTACACACATTTTTCTCTTCTCTTTCTTTGCTTTTTCTAAAAATTGAATTTTTTTTCTTCGTTAATCTTCGTTTTTTTTTTGATACTCTTCATTTGTTGTTTACTTGTTTCTCTATAATATGTAATATTAAAAACATATACATACCTACATTATAATATAAGTAATAGAAAGCGGAGGGATATACTTTCGGATATAAGAGTTCATAAAAAGAAAAAAAAAACACAAAAAACAAATGTTCCTAAAAGTACAATAATTTTAAAGAAGTCGAAAAATTTCGTATAACACCGGAAATGCTTAGAGGGGTAGAAAAGTAAATGTTTTTGTTTTCTGTTTTTATACAAATATCGTAAGAATTTTTAAAGATTTTAGAAATTTAAAAATTAAAGCAAAGAATTTTTTTAGCAATATAATGTACAACACAGTATAACTGTATAGTTTTCTATATTTATAGCTTTATTAATCCTATATATATATATAAAGATCTTCTAATATATAGCTTGAAATATAGTTTTGTAATTTGAGTAAAAATTTTACACGTGCGCAAGTTTTTTTGTTAAAACGGTTTGTTCGATTCAGTTTTAAATATTAGCTACAAAATACTTGGCTGCAAATATTAACTTTTTCATATTAGCTACGTAAATTTTTCGTTTCAGCTAATGATCGAGCACTATTATTGTTTAACATTACCAAAATTACCTCCAATTTTTGATCCTTTCAAACAATAAGGAACAATCCTTGTCTAAAGCAAATTTATATCTACAGTTTTGTTCTTCACCTATTTTACCCAATCTTATTGCCACCCATTCGATTTCAGAAAACAGTCATTATTAGATTTATTAAATTTAATATAGATGTCCATTCCCGTGAAGTTTTCTCCTACATCTTCCTCTCAAGCTAATAATCTTGCTTCTTTTATAATAATCAAATTCACAACTATTTATTTAAAATTCTTGTGAAGTTCTAGTCGCCTTTCTCGTATTACTTGGATCAAATAATTCTGGTTGCGACTTGCTTGAACAATATATAATTTCTAACAATAATTTATTTCTGTATACACCACTCTTAATACATAAGTTGGATATTAGATGGTCGGATGTTATGCATACTTCTTTGGATGTTTCTTGTATGCCTTGAACAAGATTTCTAAATACCTTTAATTCACTTAAATCTTTTTAAGGTTATCTTTTTCTTTGAGATCAAATTTTTAAACTCTAATAACATAGGTCTCAGATAATCTATCAAGTTGGAAAAGCAGACGTTGGAATAATCTCGATGACAGATTAATTTTTTTTTAACCACACCTACAGGTATTCCGAAGACTTCTATATCTTTAAAGTGGCTGGATATAATAAAGTGAAATAAAATCACAGAGGGTAAGTATACCCCTCCTACCTAAACAATCATCGCAATCTTGGTGGTGCCTTCAGTCCTATTGAGTGTTGGAGAGTGACCTTCCGGGGTGGCCTTTGCTTCCCATTCATTTCAACATATTCATTTTACACAATTACAGAAATAATTTATATTTAATAATCAAATAAAGAAAATGTAAAAATTTTAAGCTACAAAGCTAGACCGTATATTTCTGAGCAGCTCATTCCATATTCATTTGATTAACTTATGAAAATACATTAAATTTTGGAATTAAGAATAGGTTCTTCATATAACTGCACGACTAAAAAAAGCAGCGTTGAACCGAAATAAATTGCAAAGCAGAAAAATTAAAACCTTTTAATTTACGTATTGAATTCCAACTAGTGACTTACCCTCTCCCAAAGATATTTCTACTTCAACTGAATATACCGATTATAATTAATTGTTTTAAGTTATTCCAGAAATTTTTTGTATTCTATATAGAGCTTAAAACTTCATAATTTTGAACTAAAAGCAAAACTCCGCTGTGCAATGAAATTAAAATTCAAAATTATCTTATATAGTCATTATATTGCATTTTGAGTATTTATATAAAATATTCAGCCCCATTTTTACTAATTAATATTTTCAAAAAACCAGTATTAGAGCAAAAAACCCAACAAAATTACAAACGTATACGACATAATGTTTTAAATGTACTCAATCTATATAAGCAATGCTTTTATTTCACAACTCAAAAAAAAGAACAAAATTGCAAGAAAATTACTGCAATAAGAACCATTTAAAAAGGTAATTAATCATCAACCTAAAATTCATTTAACAATAAAATGCATTTCAGATAAAATGTATATTACTAAAATACAAACCCCTAAGTAATGTTGCTAACGAAAGTGGCATTTCCTTCAAAAACATTCGAAAAAAAAATTGTAAAATTACTTTAAAAATATTTTTGCAAGTTCACTAAAAGCAATTTTTTAAATTCTGGAAATTTTAAAAACCATCATTTATAAAAATTTTATTTACAATTTTTTTTTTTATAACAAAAAAAATAATCATTTAGTTAAATAAGGTTTTTTCTTCATATTATGGCAAAAGCAAACAAAAAAAAATCGGTAAAAGATTTTACTTAGAAATAAAAGTTATTACATAATTGCTTCCCCTAAATGGCCCTTCAGTTCACCTCTTGAAATTAGCGTAGTCATTTATATATATTCTACTTTTTTGTTATACAAATATATTGTACTCACAATTATTTGTTATATTGTTGCTAAAATTTTATAACAATACATACACACATGCAATTTTCTCCTTATTTTTTGTATTTTGAAAAGAAAATGATGGTGTGCTTTTTATGTACCTTCATTTTGCACAAAAAGAACTTCGCTGGAACGATTTTTCAATTGCATATACTTACATACATGAATACGTATAAGTCCACTTAAAATTCTTAAAATTTTATAAATTATTTTCTTGATGTAGTATCTCACCCGCCCTTAAAGTCAGTATATAAGGCATTAATGTAGAAAGAGAATTAAAATTATATTTTAAAAAAACGTTCATAGCTTTTAAATTTTTATGCATTTTAGAAATATTAAAAAATAAAATTGCTCTTTAATCTAAAGTCATTGCAGTAAGTATTTGTTAAGTGTACAATTATTTGGAGGAAACCATAATTACAAAATTGAAATAAATTTAACTTATGATTTGCGACTGAATTCAACCAGTTTATTATTGGTTCATTCATATTGGTCGAACCATGTTACATGAGTTGAACTGACTAACAACTAAAAGTTATTCATGGATATTAGGTTAGCCTAAATTGAACATTTTTGAGTTTTGCTTCTGATTAATTGGCAATTTCTATATAGAATAAAGTTGAGTCAAATAAATGGTTTGTAATGTAGCACGTTTCCCTTCAACAAGCGATAATACCGCTTTTAAAAACGATCTAGCTATGTACTTCATTATTAAAAATACTTTAATAAATTTATATTTGAAAATTTTTAAAAAATTGCATACTTTTCGGATGAATAATGTATTGCAATTTTTGAAATAAAATGAAAAACAAAATTGAAAAGGCGTGAACATAATATTCGAATTTAAAGGGTTATTTGTGAGATTTAAGAGAAATAATTATACTCCTTAATGGCATCGAAGTTACGGTTAGCTGTCTCCGTTTGTGGAATTTTGGAAAGGCTTTCAGTTTAGGAAGTATAAGGTGACGGAAACTCGAATTTGATAAGTTTGAAGAGGCGACAATTTGAGATTGAGTGGAGCTAGAAAAAAAGTTTTTCAAACAAAATTAACTATTTGTTAGTATTTAAAAACTACTAAAATGTCAAATTTCTACAACCTGAGATCTAAAAGAAAAAAGATATCAAAACTTTGGAAAAAAACGGATTTTAGATAACAATAAAATCAGTTCAATGATATGCCACAACAGAAAAAGCCCTTCACTATTTTTCGGCGTTTACAAAATTTGAAAAATGCTTATGCTTTCGTTGCAATGCATAGTTAAATAGACATATTTAGGATTCAATAGTGTAGAAGTTTTGTAAACAGACACACGAACGGACAGAGTAAAACTAATAAGCCATTTTTGCTTGGAAAAGTGCTAAGAAGTAAAATGTGTTAAGGTGTCATTAAATAAGTTAGTATTCATATGTAATTTTTTCAAATTAGTGGTAATTTCGAAACGATGTCGTAAAGGCATCATACTTTACACGAGTTTTGAAAATTTTTAAGTTAAAATTTCACTAATCTATAAAGTTTTAAATAAATTAACACTACATTGTTGGAAGTGCAAATTTACTTACTTTTTCAAATTAATCATAATAAAATTTTAAAAATTATAATTACGAACATTTTATTTTAATTTCTAATTTTATTTTTATCTTATTTTTCTTTTACAGAAATAATTTTTTCGGAAGTGTTTGAAGCACACTTAAGGGGTCCTGGTTTTGTAATGGAACCACCATCTAGATTAGAATTTTCAAATTCATCCGGTGGATGGCTAGATTGTTCAGCATCTGGTAGTCCACAACCAACAATTGATTGGCAATCAGTTGATGGTACATCAATCGGTGATATTGGTGGTATACGTAGAGTACATAGAAATGGTACATTAGTGTTAATGCCATTTTCAGCTTCACAATATAGGCAAGATATACATAATACAATATATAGATGTGTTGCATCAAATAGCGTTGGTAGAATAATATCACGTGATGTACAAGTTAGAGCAGGTAAATTAATAAAGTATAAAATTTTAATTTTTAAGAAAAAATCATTTTTAGCTTTCTTTTTTTAAAAACTTTTGTTTGTTTTTAATTTTAGTTTTCATTTCTGCCCTTTGCATAAAACGTAAAACACTTTAAATTTCTTATTACCCAAATTTTGTTATCTGAATTTTGAATAAAATTTAAAATAAATAGTGTTTGTGTATAAGCAGTTGGAGTTTTATATTATAAGGCTATTTTCAATGCAATTTTATACGTTCCTTGGCACTATTATAAAGTAATTAAATTAATTTTATATTATAAAATCAACAAAAAAATTAAGAAAAGTTGAGACGTTATAAATATAACTAAATCTCAATAGTCTTTCAACTCATATTAAAAATATGAAAAATTTAACTTCTATAACAAAATTCATATAACAATATTCAGGAATTACAGTTATGAAAAAGCTCTTTTAATAAGGTACTCTTTAGACAATTCTAAAATTTATAGTCCTCAAGCATACGACACTTATCTCTTGAAATTGAAATATATTAAAAAAAAATACACAATTAAAAGAGTTAAGAATCTTTTTGAACCAGAATTCCTTCATGAATCAGGGATTAACATATGAAAATTTTAATTTTACTCAGTTGAAGGACAAAAGCTATGCGCATCATTCTTCATTTTATCATCTAAACTTATCAAGTATATAAGAGAAAAACAAAAATATCAAAATTTCATATTTGTTTCTAATTTGAAAATATTTTAATCTTCCAAACCAACTAATCCAAAAGAGGGAAAAAAAAATCTTTTGAAAAAAAAAATATCCTTTTATATAAAACATTTTCGCATATACATTATTGTATATATCAGCATACATACATAATACGTAAACATATACATATTTTTTATGTCATCAGTTTAATTTTCCTCTACCAAAGGTCATCAGAAATAGATAAACATTAAAAGACATAAAAATGAGAAAAATGTGAAAAAAAATCAAAACAAAAAAAAAATCTAAATCGCTTATTTTTATCTTATGAAATTTGTGAAATGTCAACAGAACTGGCTCCTGATGATATCAGGTTTATACAAATAAACAAAATAAATGTGGACACAAAAGAGAAATAAAAATAAATCCAAAAATGCCAGTCTTATTTTTTCATTTTCTTCTCTTTTATTTCATTGTAATTGTGTGTAAATACATAAAAAAAAAGAAATCAAGAGACAATTGAAAAACTATAAAATTTATGTATGTTCGAAAAAGGATATGAAAACTGTAATAAAAAAGTAAAAATATGACATAAACTTACCAGTAATCAGAAAAGACTGGTCAGAAACCAACGAAAAGTTTAAAGATAGAATGCTTATGTCTTTTTTTTTTGTTTATAGGAAAATTTCACTTTAAATTGAGGTACCCGCGAAATATTAGTTAAATTGTACTCGAATGGCGTTATTAACAAGTTTCTCTCTGCTTATCGCTTTAACAAAATGAGTTACCTATAAAAATCTGATAAAAATACTAAATTCAATAATCATTTAAATTTGCCATTCAAATGCAATACCAAAAATTAAATTTCGGACCAACAATGTACATATCTTTTGCATCACATTGCGCCTATTGCGCCTATTAGTGGTTCTATATTTTCGCTCATTTCAATGAGACAATTTTTGTTTTATTTTTTTAAAATCATAACAAGAAAATTTTTATTTGTTGTTTTCGAAAAATCAAAAAAACTTTTAAACGAACTTTTATTTTAAAAAAGCAATGATTTTTTCTAAAACTTGACCTCATTTTCTTGATGTCGATAACATCTTTTCAAAAAACAAAAAGAGCTTAAAAGGACTCATGTATTCTTACATATTTATAAAATAGACATAGAAAATATTGTTCTTACAGAATAAAATCTAAAATTTCATTTCAAAATTCCAAGCATGTCTAAAATTTTATTTTATTTTTTTTTTTGTTTCTTTGAAAATATAGGTCAATAATTTGTAAAGAGTATACCTGATGAATTTTATTTTTTACAATGTAGAACTCAATAGTACTTAAATAGGTACAAAATTTCTCTCCAACCTGTTGACTTAAATATCAATGACGAAGTTATATTAAAACAAAAAATTTAATTGTTCCTATACTCTTGATTTTTATATTCGAAAAAGGAACAAAATGGAAAATTCAATGAACATTAGAATTTGTTCAAAAAAAATCAAACCAACCATAATCAATTTCCTAAAATAGTTTTCAAGCCTTAAATTAAGCAAAATAAAATTGTGTTAAAATTCTAAATTAGCTTGTAAATAGTTTATGCATATGCAAATAAAAATTTTAATTGCCTTATTAAACAAGCAGAGTACGTTTGTCATTGTGATGAAGAAATTTTCTCTTAAAATACTCTCACATAAAATACAGTCCTTTTCTCAAAGTACACTCCTTTATATTTCTTATTATTCTTATTTTAACTAATCCTATATTATATTAATTATGAAAAATATTATAAATGTTCTCGAAACTAAGAAGTTGAGGAAAAAGAATTAATTATTTTGCTTAAAATAATTTTAAATATTATGCATATTCTTTGAATTCACAAAAACGGAAGAAGACCATTTTGTTTTAAATTATTATAACGAGAAAAAATTAGTGTATGTACGATATAAAATGAATTTACGAGTATTTGCAAGAGAAGCCAAATTTAGTGAGATTTGTCCAATCGCATTCTAGCATATTATTATAAATATTTTAAAGGGTTTCTCATAATTATTCTTGTATTAAAAATTATAAAACAGTACTTGAAGTTGTTGAAATTTTTATGAATTCCAATAAAAAATAGGAAAATAAAATTCTTGAAAGAGTAAATTAAATTTTTCTTAATACTAATGTACAAGAAAAGAAACCAAATTTTAAAACTGAAATAAAAGAAAATTTATTCAAAAACCATAGTGGCTATACTCACAATTTTTAAAAAGAACTCGTTTCATTTGAGCATTACGCTTTATTTTCTAAAACGCAAAATTCTCTTCACTGATTTAAAAACTAAGAAAAAAATTAACAAATTAAAAAGTGTACTTCCTATTTCAAAAATTAAATTCAATAACCATTAACCTAAACAGACCCGTTCATTATAGTGAATTTTGTTAAACAAACATTTTATTATTAGATTGGTGTATTATTGTTTCGGTCTGAATATAAACCCTCTATTCTTATAATGAATGATAAACTCAATTCAATTTTGAAAATTCAAAAATTACCGCCATAGTTTTATCATAAAAATACTTACAAAAATAGCATTAATAATTATGTGTAATTATCGAACTAGAATCAATTATCGCTATTTGTACTTAAAAATATCTCCAAAACAAAATAATAAGCCTTACAATCTTAGAATAATAGATCAAAATTTTGTAATTCGTATCATATTAGTTCCAGTTGAATTATTTCATAAGAAATCAGATTTAAAATTCAAGATATTGTTAATAAATTTTTTGTTACATTTGTAGTAGAATATGAAGATGAAAATATTATAAGTTTTGCAAATTGAAATTATTGTTTATTCAAAAGTGGACTTCTACACCTACAAAACTACATCTCAAATTTTAATTAAAACTTTATTAACCAACATACTTTTTTAGATACATACATATGTACATGCAGCACAAGAACAAGTTATTATTCATCCGATATTATACGTCTGCTTTAACGCCTGTTCTATGCTATTACATGATAAAAACTTTCAAAACAAATTCAAAACAATTTGTATACTCAAATTGCTCTTGAAATTTAAAATATTGTTGAAAACCATTTTTTATAAATGTAAGTCTATGCATATATGTAGGTACTTACATGGTCATAAATAAGCTTTTATAATAAGAGGAATATGTTGCCAATATTTCAATTTCAATATATGAATTGAAATTGGAAAAAAAAATTTCAATGATATAGAAGAACATAGAATAATATTTTATTCTATGTTCTTCATAGAACATCTTTCAATTTAGAATTTTTCTTTTTTTTTTTGTTTTCTTCTTCAAAAGAAACCAACAAAACTTTATTTCGTTGAAAATTCTATCCTCTTTTTTATTTATTTTTTGATGCTTGGCCTCAATTCTTAAAGCTTATATCAATAGAAAATTATTTTCAATTCTTTGATTTATTAACCATTTTTCATATATACGTGCATGTATAACAATATATTATTTGTTATACATTCTCTAACACGAATATTATGCATGTATGCGATGTTGTATTCAATGCACTTTGATAAAGTATACTAAACTATACAAAAATGTACAAAATATATAAGCATAAAATATTTTTTTTTATTCATTTCAACAACATTGAAATACTATGCAATATCATCAACATTTTCAAAGACTTGATCAAAAAATAAGAGTTCAAAAATTCTCAGTGAACCAAGAAAATAAATTTTTTTTTGTTTTTCCATGCGAAAGAAAATTACAAAAAAAAACAAAAAAAACAGTTCGAACAAAAAAGGAATATTCAGACATATCTACACTTAAACATACACATATAGAGCATCACTATACGTATGTATGTATGAATATTATTTCATGGTACAAGGAATATACCAAAAAACAAAGCAATAGCAAAAAACCTTTTGAATGAACAAATATGATTTTTGATCCAAGTACAGCATAGGCTATAAAATATTATAAAAGACTTTATAGAGAAAAGACCGTATGTACTATTCATACATGTATGAGTAAGTAAGTCTAGCGTGTTAAACATTTGTAAATTGCCTATTTTTTCTAAGAATTAAAAAGATTTTCAAAAAATAACTTACTAATTGGTTCAAGTTAAGAAAAATGTATTTATTTTTGGTTCCGAATTGAATGCTTAAATGGAAGTGTATCTAGACAACATTAAAATAAAGTACGGCGCCATAAAATATAGTACGAATTATTATTTACTCTTATTATATACTCTTATTATATACTCTTATTATTTTTTAACGTAATCATTATTTTCATTTCAACTACCCATAAAAAATTAATTAACAATATTAACTTACCAGTGTTTGTACGTAAAAATTTCTTTTTTAGAATTTAAGTCAATTCCGAACCAAGAGTAGTGCGCCGATCGCAATACAAGCTATAATTTATTTATTCTAAATTTATAAAATTTGCGCGAATCTTTCCGCATATAATTGGTATCTTGCCATTTTTAAACAACTTTACAACGCGTGTGCATACATGAACAATAATTGAAAAGGTGAAGATTTTTGTCCAAGTGGAAGTAGAATGATTCCAGCATTAGAATGGCGATTTGTCTCGCTTGTCCAAGAAAGTGTGGAAGATAAGATTAAAATGTTAATTAACTTGCAAATTATTCAAATTTTACCCTATCTTATAATATAATTTATATAAACAATATTTCTGTAGAAATTTTTCAAAATTCGATATTCAAAATTTTAGTTTTCTTGTATAAATTCATTGTTGCACACTCACATATTAATATCTGAAAGACAAATAGTGAAATAAAAATCTGAAGACGGGTTTACGAACAGGATTGGTTCCAATACCAATTTCATTATTTTAACGTTTCCGTATGCTGTTTTGGAGGAGAAAAAGCGAATCCCTATTTTCCAATGTGCTCGAAATTATTATTTAATTATTCAAAATTAATTTATTAATTAATTCAAAAAACTTGTGTTTTCCATCCTACCTTTACAGTGGTACATGCACAATTTCGATAGGAACATATCTCTGCAATATTTTACTTGTGTGTAAAATTTCAGCTTTCTCAGATAGTGTAAAAAGGGTAGTTAGATTTGTACCACAAATAGTGTTGGAATTTTATAAGTTAATATAAGCACATTCTTTGCAATCGATAGATAAATATTTTTAATAATTTAAAAATCTGCAAATGACATTATTTTAATTAATACAATTATACCGCACGGGTCTTACATACGTATGTATACCGATACACACAAAGATTTAGGCAAAAACAAATCCTGTGTATATGCACTTGATTTTATTGATTACATGTATGATGCAGGCAAATTATATCAAGAAAAATAATAATTTTTTTTTATTAACAATTCATCATTAAAAATATTGTCCTTCCTTTCCATGCTCTATATCGCAAAATAGTTATATAAACATATGCATATGTTTACATAAATGTCTACATTTTTATGTAGAATATTATAATTTACACGACATGTATAATTATAAATAAGTAATTATTTATTCATTATTAATTTCATATGTACATTATAATCCATGCAGTGTATGTATGTAGATAATATAAAATATATGTGTATTATGAGGACAAATATTTTAATATATTAGCGCAGCATAAAACAGCATAACCATAAAATAATCTTAATCTCTACAAAGTCTCCAAGATTCATTCACCTGTTTTTTTTTTCTTTTTTTTGCCAACTATGCCACCTTATCTTGCCACTCAAAATTTTTCATTTTCCTTTTTTCAATTCTTTCTTCTTCCCATATTACGTATAAAGTATTTTTAAAGAAAATATGTGAGGGAAACGTAAGAGGGTAGGAAAATCACCGGAGGCAACATGTTTTTTTACTTTATCCAAGCATCCTAGAGAATTCCTCCTATAAATAAATATTTTACGTTTTATGTACAAAAGGAAAGAAATTATTTTTTTCTTTTTTTTTTGAAAAAATAAAAATAAAAAACGTCTATGTACTATTTTTAATAAATTTTACTCGTTTAATTTTTGTTCTTTTTTTTATACATAGCTACATATATTTATAAATTATTTATGTATGTGTTAGATTTGTTTTTTTTTGTTTAAATATATAATTATATTTTTATTATTTTATATACCATATACATTTAAATTTAAATTATTATATAATATGCAAACATAATATATGCGTTTTTTGTATAACAAAATATTAAAAATTGTATTTTTATTTTTCTCTTTTTCTCTCTTTATTTTTTCGTTTTCTTCATAATGCATTTTATTCGCATATTCTTTGCATATCCATATAATCTACATACATATAAAAAATTAAATTTTTTTGTTGTTGGAAATAAAACAAATGTGATATATTAAAAACGTAAATAACGGGATATAAATTGCATTCATATAATAATATAACAGTTGTAGCACAAGCCTATAAAGTGGACGTTGAGGTACTGGGTGCATCAAGAGGTTGTACAGCAATATTACGTTGTGTTGTGCCAACATTTGTTAAGGAATTAGTTCGAGTGGTGTCATGGGTTCAAGAACCTGCCTTCTATATATATCCATCGCTACAAGGAGGTAAGAATAATTATACATATACATACATATTTTTTTTACTCTTTTATTTAATTGTTGTTGAATTTATTTTTTGTATTATTATTATTATTTAATTGTTTGTTAATTTAGGGTTTATTTTTTAAATATAAAATATGTAATGTATGCATACAACATTTGTATGTATATGAATATTTATAATAAACATTTTACGCATAATTACATTATAACAAGTTGATTTAATTTAAAGGATGCTGAAATTGTATAATTTATAATAAATTTTCTGCAAATTTTTTATGTAGATATTATTTATAGCGTGTCTAGCACATGAAATTAAGCTCTTATAAATACGAAACAGAATTACTTGTATTTGACAATATCTTTTTAAAGTATTGTATATTTATGCAAAAAATTTTATTTAAAATATAATATTGGGTAGCAAACAAGATTTCATATTATGTTTGTCAGAGAAATTTCTTTGAATTTCTCGCAATATTGCTTACAATATTGATTATAAACGCTTTATAATCAAAATTTGTCATAATATTTAGATATGACATTTGTTATACCGTAACTTCTATACCAAAATCTCTTGAAAAAAATAGTAAAAATCAAATCATTTAAACTGGTTGTTCTCACTAATTATGTCATCCTTAACGAACACACAAAAAATTTGGTGTTTAAAAGAAATTTTATATTATAGATGCGATTGAGGTATTATGCCACAATAAATAGTATTCAGAATAACGTACATATCTTCTTCCAAAATCAAAAATTTATTAAAGAAACACATCATGAACACAGGGTAGTTTTTACATATTATACATAATGTAGATATTCATATTAATTTACAAATACAATTACATAATATTTATGGTTATGTAAAATGTTATGACATATTTTATTTTTTAATTTTTATTATGATTGAATTTTTGAATTTTATAGCACTGAAATCTATATGTACGAGTATATATACCTATATGTATACAATATGAGAAGAATTTTTTTTAGTATTCCTAAATAAAAAATGAATACCATAATTTGATTTTTATGATAAAATTTCCATTAGATCACATTCTATGCGATATTATGCTGCATTCTCATATCAAATAATAAAAAACAAATAAAATATAAATAATAAAAAAAAGAATATCAAAATTACAAAACTTATTTATTCATATGTGCTCATATATATGTAGATTTTCTGTACCAATATAAGGTATTTTCTGCCCACAACAACCTTGAATGTACGAATTTTTAAAACATTCCCCAATTCTAATAAATTCCAATATTGTATGATATTAATTTCAAGTTTTGTAATTTTTTTTTGGACATTTCTATTCAAAATTTGTAACAAAAGTCATTAAATAGAATTTCATTTTTTATTTTTACATTTATATGAAATTGTACGTGTACGTACTTAAACATAAATAATTTGTACATATGTGCTTAAATAATAATCCATCATTAAAATTTAAATAAAAATGTCAACATTATATAAAATAAATGTATGCCAGGAATATATAAATTTAATATTCCAGATAATTCATATATCTATGTGTATAAATCATATGTCTTTCTTAAACCTCTTGTGTGCTATTAAAAAAATATGGGCAGTTATTTAAAAAATATAAAAAGTACTTGTAAATTTTTAAAAACATACTTTATTTTCAATAAAAATTTAAAATTGCTAACAATTTTGAATTATTCTTTCAGAAATTGTAAAAATTATAATTTTTTACTCAAAGTGAAGAAAACGACTTGGTATTCAATTGCCAACTATGTTTACAATGGCGATTTTTTAGTAAAATTTGTTTACAATTTATTTGGTAAAATAAATTCATCGTTTACCGTATCCGTTTATAAAATATGGACGATGCAAGTAGGTTGAAGAAAAGGGTTCCCCGAATTTGAAAAAAAAAATTTTGATATTTTTTAACTTTTATATAATTTGCATCAACTTCGCAACATCTAAAAAACGAAAATCACGTCCATAATTATTTCTGTTACATGTATATTAGCCACCTGACTATGACGACCAAGCAATAGGTTAGTGCTCTTAACACCATTAATGAATTTTTTTTGGAATTCAATTTTCAAGCTCATAATCGTTAGAATCGAACATTACATTTTAATTTCAATAATTCATTTATATATCGAATATGTATAACAGCGTAATACAAGTATACAACTTGAATAATATTTTATATGACAGTACACAAAAACAATTTCTAATTACGAAAATATGTTATATATGTTTATATGTTACAATGAAAACCAATAAAAATTATTACCATCATAATGGAATACACATAATGTTATATGTATAATAATATACACATACAAAAGAAAAACAATATATACCTATAGGGAAAATTATATAAAATAAAATATCGAAAATATTATTATAAAAGTACAAAATAATATTTAGTCCATTTTAAAATGAATACATAAAATGTATGTTACTTGAACTAAAATAAATTATAAATTTGTTACACATTAATAAGTAAAACATATATAGTATGTATACATGTATGTATTCGAGCATCTAGGCATACATAGGTTTTTTTTTTTATGTTGTAACAATAATATTTATTGTACTCAAATTTTTATGTGCATTTGAGCGAATAATATTCGTACATAATAATGTACATATGTACATATTTGGTAACATATAATTTGTCATTTATTTTTATGACATTTCATTAAAATAAAAATTCACCATTTTCTGAAATTATGTTTATATATATAGTAGGAATGTAGGTTCTTCATGTTGTCTTGTATCGTTTATGAAATCGTATTTGTAACACATTTAATAAAAATAATAATTTTTCTCTTATTTCTCGTGTAGCTACGCCTAAGGAGTACTCGAAAATCGCGTATATTAGAACTGAATATTTTGAATAATTATAAAAGAAATCAGGGCTTATTCAAGTTTCTTATTTTTTTTATTTTATTAATTTTAAAAAATAATTTTTAAAATTTTTAAAATTTTAAAATTTTAGAAAGAAATAAAGACAATTAGTAGTTAAATTTAATTTACTTTCTTAAAACTCACTTTTATGTTATATAACGTAATGTATCGCACCATGAAAATAATACCGTAAGATCTCAAAATTGTTAATTTTTTTACTAGCAAGTGGTTGAAAGCGCAAAATATTTCTCTATATTTTGCTCCAAATCAGGTGATGATATATCAAAAGTTACCGTTTTTACTCAAAATTTTCTGAGTTCAGTTTTCGAACATTTTTTAGAGAGCGTTTCTTGTTAAATTAGAAAAATATTTTAATCCACGACAGTATACGGTTTTTTCAAATGGGTTGTTGCAATATTTCGATTTACACCGAAAACCACAATAATTCAAAATATTTCAGCCCTGCATTTTTTCGAATAATATCCTTTTTTATTGAATAAAACACCGCGATATTTTGTTTTATTTTTTTTAACTTACACAACTTTAAAACAATGTTAGTATAAAACAAAATGTTCCGGTCTTAATTTCACATATATAAAATTCCATAACCACGTAATTAATTCAATCGAAACTTCTAAATTTAGAGATGTTGTGGTATTATTGCCAAGTACGATATGTATATATCTGTATGTATAATGTACGTGTGCATCTACAATTCATATAAGACGAAAATTTTCGAAAAAATTTATTTACATTTCATTTATTCATTTATTTAACAAATACCAAAAACAAAAGTTATTACCGAATTAAATTATTACCGAAAAAGCAGTTCTAAATGAATCTCCTAGTTATATGGCTACAATATTTAATTATTAATAACTGCACCAGCCGCTACTTTCAAACGGCGGCTTAAAACATCTGTATTACATTGTAAATTGCAAACGATTTTGAATAAATAATTTCGCCCAAACATATGCAATATTATTATATTATAAAGTGTATAAAAAAATGTTAATATTGTTACTTCTTTTTTGAGAACGTAATTTAATCAAATTATTTTATGTAAATAGTGCCATGCGATATAGACGCATATTCATAAACACTTCATAAGATACAATCATAGCAAACGTATAACAAATTCTTTTGTGTGAAATTGCAATAAGTCTTCCTCATGTGTACTTGATTCATATATTTGTTGAATACTTATTGGATTCTGATTACTTCTTAACTGATTTATAATTTATCTAAAAATAAAAGATAATTTATTTAGAAGATAAAAATATTTAAAAATACAAATAGCTATAATAAAAAATACGCGCTAAATGCACCTGCATAATTATAATTTATTAAATTTATTAACTTCATTCATCTAATATGTAAACCACTGATTCATAATATGGAAATTCATCCCTTTAAAACCATAAATATGCAAATCATCTTGTAAATTTTGAATTGTGGTAATTATTTCGTACAATCTCTAAAATTAATTTTATAAATTACCTATATTCTATATTACAATATTTAAGCAAAATTTTATTTTTAAATTAAATTAGTTTAGAATTACTTCATTAATGTTATGGTTACCGCTAAGAATCATGTATAACATCCATGTCCGATCAAAGTAAATATTTATACAAAATTAGCAAAGGATAAAGGAATTTAAAAGAAAAGTTGCTTATAATGCAAATAATTAAAATTTAATTTAAAGAAAATTTCTATAGAAATATTTTCCATAGCTCAGAATGCAAAAACAAAAAGAAAACTATTTAATAATATATTAATCATTGATCTTTTGATTATTAAAGGTATTTGAAATATTTATAATTGTTTTTGTATACTTGCAAATATTTTATAGTAACGCATGATACACATTATGTAATATGTATTGTGCATGTATCAGAAATGTTATATATAAACATATTTGTATTTATACACAACCATATTATTATTATTGCGAACATTCTTATCTAAATTATTTAATTTTGTTAAGTAACTTTCGTATTAAGTTTATACTAACATAAATGAAGGGATGATGTTATAATACATATTTATAATAATATAAATATTATATATATAAATATTTCATATGAAATTATATTAAAATTAAAAGTCGTTTTCAAAATCCAAAACTTTACGTATGTAAGAGTTGTAAATTCGCATATATTTTCACAATTAATCGTACGAACGTATGTTGAACGTTATACTAAATTTGCTTTACCATTTATAACGCTAAGAAATAATGGTCTTATATATAAATTCAAGCATATGCTTTTGTTCAGCGTCTAATTCTGAATCGGTTTAACAATGCCTATTCGTTTGTCCGTTCGTCCATCGACATCAATAATAACTCAAAAACTAATCGAGGTACCGGTTCGGGCAGCAGTTTGAAAATTGTTCAACCTACAGTACGGAAATTTTACAAAATCATATATGATAAAATGGTGCTTGTAATAGCTGTCATACAACACCAAAAGTTATTTTACCATACCTCATTAATTGATCAGCTCATAGCTTTGGAAATTCTCACAAACAAATATATTGTTAAGGCTATTGTGTTTAAAGCCGTTGAAATTTTTGTTTGTTGTAGCTGCTATATAACTTCATAAGCTACTTGTTCATAGCTCAGAAACTAATGCTCTTAGATTGTATGATTTTGTATGGTAATTATTTTTTTAAATTGCACTATATACAAGAAGCAAAAGGTTGTATAAAACTGTATGTCAATTATCTTAGACATTCAAAATCATTAATTATTCGTACGGGTATCACAAAATTGACACGGCCAACTATAACTATTCTCATTTCAAAATAAAAATACTGAATTTTTCTGATTTATATATTTTAGTTTTTAATCAAAAGATTGTTAATTATATGCGCGGTTTTAGGCATTAATAAAACTTATAACAAATTAATAAATCTATAAACTTATACTGAGACAAATCAATAAGTTATCAAAATCTTTGAATTTGATTAAGTGAGAAGAGATGGGACTAACTGAACTATGAAATTCAATTTGTTATTACTTGAGAGCTTCAAAACCTATAATTTTATTAAACTCAAATAATTTTATTAAACTCAAATTTGATTAATACATCGAATCAAATTTCTATTTTACATAAAAATTAAGTTTCATGTTGAGACTATTTTGCTTTCGAACACCTTTGTGTACGTTTCATTTGCCCAATATATGAAAACATATATGACAAATTATGCAATGTGTTACATAAAAAAAACCCATGTAATTTCCAATATAATTTTAACTGTAGGTATATTATATTGGTATACATACAATATAAATTATGTATAAACATATTTTACATTAAATATTTGAAAGCTTAATGCAATCAAATATTTTTTTATAATATGAGCATATTTGGTCATTACAAATGTACTATATATTATGTAAATTTAATTTGTGAGGTATATAAAATCTCATTTTATAAAATCTATATATTATATATAGCATATATATTTTTATAACATACATGTGTTTAAATATACATTACATATTTAATAAACTTTCTTATTATAATATACTTTACTTATATATTATTATGTATTTAAATATATAATTTATTATTATATAATAATAACATGACTAATATTTGTTTTTCTTTTCTCTTTTCTTATTTCTTTATATACCGTATATCTTCGTAATATACTATGTATATGTATATATATATTTAGATGGAAAATTTCATTTATTACCCACCGGTGAATTATTAATTCATGATCTCGACTATAGTGATAGAACACATCCTTTTCGTTGTCGTACAATGCATCGTTTAACTAGACAAGTTGTTATGAGTTCACCAGCAAAAGTCAGGATCACTGGTAAGTATCTCTTTCAATTTAATTTTTTTTTTTTAATTTTTGTTATGTTTTTTTTTCTATATTCTAATTTGTTTTTTGCTTAAAGGAGTTTTTTTTTCTTCCTATCTTATAAAATGTGTTTATCTAGGCTTTTATTTACTTTTTGTATATATATATATTATGTACTTTGTGTATATATACATTATGTACTCGTGCATGAATACAATAATATAATTGTATAAGCCTTTTTATTTTTATATCTTATGGACATATATGCTATAGGTATATGTAAGTATTTTATGTAGCTAATGAATACATACTACATTGTAATACATACATTTCATATCATTATTATTTAATATGCATATATATACAAATGTATGTATATTAGTGTATTGTAAGATGAGATTACATAGTAGAGATGCCTAAAGTCTCATATTTGCTTTCAGCTTTCCAGTTATTCAAATTCTCTACTTAATTTTTTTCTTGTATTTTTTCTTATTCTCTCTTTTTTTTAATGATTAGTTTAGTAATATGAACAGATTTGAGGTTAGAGTTTTTTTTTTCTTTTTCATTTCTGATGCTTTTATTTTATCTTTGAATATTTTATCAAAGGCTATATATTTATAAAAATAAAAGCAAAAAAATTAAAGAGCAAAAACCATTTTCCTTCATATATGTAGAAAGAATAATGTTCATTATACCAATTTCTTATAATGACTGATTATTCTTTTATACAACCATCAAGTTCTGATTAATTCTTTATCATTAAAGTTAATACTTTCTCATAACCTCTTCGGAACAAACAAACGAACAAACAAGAAACGACCAGAAAAAGAAAAATTACCCATGTCCCATGTATTCTATGTTTCAAGTAGAGGAAATTTTTCTTCCCTGTTCCCGCGTCCTTTTATATGTATATATATTTACATACACAAAAATCATGTTCCTTTCATCTTCATCTTTCGATAGTCGCATATATGTATAACAATATTTTATGAAAATGTCCTGTCGTCGTCGTTTTGGTATATATTTAGAGTGTTTTCTTTTTTATTTTTTTTTCTTTTGCAATTTTTATATATGTACGAAGGCTAAATTACAATATTTGCAAAAGAATGTTAATTTACGAACCAGAATTTCTATAAATGCTAAACAACATTTTACTCTGATTTTACTTCTAATATAACTGCATATATATTATATATTATGTATTGATGTTTAAATATGACATGTATACATATAATATTATATTTTATGTCTAAAAGCAAGAGTTCACATAATGTACATTATGTGTATCGTTCATGTACCTTTCTTTTAACGAAATGATATTAGGTAAGTTAGTTTGTAGAGAGTGTGGGTATTAAATTATTTGTACACAAACATTTTGTTTACCTATATAATATATATATAATGATTCATTTTGTTCATTTTCTTGTTAACTCTGTTATACGGTTAATCAAATTTTCAAATAATACTCCCATATAACAATTATTGTGTTAAAGATCACAAAAATGAGAGTTTTCAAAATTCAACATTCTTAAGCAAAATTTTGATGTGTTCGAACTTTTTAGCTTATTTTCGCTTCTGAATTCTCATTCAGGATTCTTCAACAAGTTACGAAAAAATTTTAAAAAATCTATGATAAACTTGTAATCTTGCAATGATTTTTTTATAAATTTGTAAAATGGGAACCTTATAACAGGAACAATAGTATCTTCCCTTGAAAATAGCATTACCAGAATGTATTAAAATGATATTCACTCTCTTTCTTCCTATGGATGAAATGAAGAAATACAGACAGTTCTGCCGGAAGTGCTTCGATCTGATGATCTTCTCTGTTCTAAAATTATTTCTCTTTTTCTCCTATATTTATCATTTAAATATTGAATTTGGATATATTTGTTTTGTGTTTCATAATTCGTAATATTACTAAATAAATATTTGTATTTTTGTTAAACAAAAATTTTAACACCAAACGTTTTACAATTACACGCTGCAAACAGTTAACAGCTTTAAAACAGTTACTAAAATATACAATATTATATCCACGTAACTCCGCTTCTGATGATGCAGAGTGAAACCACAATTATTATTTTTACACAAATTAATATTAATAGTTTAGATTATTCTTAATTGTCAAAAACGAGTGTGTCCACATGATTGTATTGAATCTTTGAAAACTTTTGAAAGCACCAACAAAGTAAAACCTAGACGAAAAGTGAAATAATATAATTAATTTTTCGTAGTGCATTTTTTTTTAGCGTCCACCTTAATGGTCAAATAATTAAGCAATGAAATAAACCGGGTTGTAATTAAGAAACTTAAAGCTTGTTAACGCAAAATCAATCAGTAAATTTTTAAAATATTGAACTGAAATTCAAATTCTGGAAAATACTTTGACTTCTATACGGGATTAAATAAAGCAAAAATAAAGTAATCGAAATTTTCTAATATAAAAAGTAGATTAAACATTAAAAACATAAGACAAGTTTTACCTATTTGGTAAAGGAAATAAAAAACAAAAGCCAACAAAGAAAAATCCCAGTTCAATCAAAATTTTTACCTGATTTTTTTCTGTTTTCTGTGTAACAAATTTCCGAATTAAGTTAAGAAAAGCAAAAAAAAAATGTAAAAAAATAAAACAAGAAAAAAAAATCAATTCTGTTAAACGAAAATAAAATCTGTTCCGATTATATATATATATATATAAATATAAATTTAACAAGTCAACAAAAAGTTCCAGTGAGGATTTTAACGAGTCCCTAGATTCGTAAAAAGCAAAGAAAAATATTCGCAGAAACACCAACAGTAAAATACAAAGAAAAAAAATTACAACCAAAAATTTTGTCTTCCAATTTGCTTGCTTTCATTTTTCCTTTATTCTTTTACTCCTCCTTAAATACCAGCGCGTATAGACAATACAGGTATTTATTGCAATTTAGTCTGTCAGGAGAATTTTCGCAATATTTCTTTTTGTTTTTATTAAATATTATAGATCACATTATTACATCATTGCACATACATACTTAATAGATGCAGAGTATAGAGTTGAAAAATATTTAGATAACAATATTTGGGCTTTATATCAAAACACAAACCGAGCATAACATGGCAATCTTATATACTCATAGATATGAAATATATTAAAATCTTATGTTCTATTTTATAATTATATAAACGCAATAATAACTTACTTAGTAATTTGCTTCAAATCTCTGGGTAAGCAGTATGCGAACTTTACTTGCAAGTTATGCACAATTTAAGGATAACTAATGATTTTTATATCATATTTGTCAGATTTGAAGATTGGTACATCTGAGGAAATAGCGCGTTACGGATTTTGTTGTACCTCCCTTTTGAGTGCGAGGCATACCACTACAACAGTTGCTCAACATCCACTCAGTTGATGAACTTGAGCAGACTGAAATTCGTGAGAACAAAATTGGTGTATATTCTCAGTATTTCGCTTCTGCAACAAACGAAAGCACCAAACTTTCTCAAGAGGTAGTCTTAGATCTTTCGTGCCGTGCTAGCCCTGAATTTTTTTCTAGAACACGACAATCTTGTTATTTTATTTTCTCCTTTTATAAATACTTATCTCATTAACCATTTACTTTGACTATGATCACAGGTTTTTAAGTCAGATAAAGGCTAATTTCTACATACTGCTTAATATACAAGAACTCCTTACCATAATTTACAAAATTCTTCGTATTTTCTCTATTCTTAGATTGTTTTAGATTGTTTATTTTAAATTAACATTAACATATTAAATGAACGTTTCTTTAATTAAAGCCAAATTAAAGTTTAATTATTCTTGCTTAATCTTTATTTATAAAACTTAACCTTACAACCATTAAGAACTACGCTGAAACAAAAATTGAAATTCTCACACTAAAAATGACTTTATAAAATTAAACCTTTTCCACAATTTTCCAAAAACAAGAAACATAATCCTTATTTAAAAAATTAAAAAATCATTATGAAATATTTTTTATAATTAAAACTTTTAAGTTCAAGCAAAAGAAACAACCGCATATCGTAAAATTTTATATGAAAATTTCTTTTAAAAATTTTTCTCCAAGAAAAAAATCAAAACAAAATTAAGAAAGAAAATTAAAATTTAATCAGTGTGCGTTTTTGTTTTTTTTTTATTCAATTATTTTAAAGGTTAAATTTAGCGTTAATTTTTAACCAGTTTATTGGTACTAATTTAAATAAATTAATAAAAAATGAAACAAAAATTAAAAAAAAAAAAACGGTCTTAAAAAAAGAAGTAATCAAAATGTGGGATGAATTTTTTTCCACTTTTCTTTTTTTTTCAATGATGAATCCATGAATCCTTTCAAAATAGAAACTGACCTTAGTTTATATTAAAAATTAATTTCAAAGAACCAATATTAGCACCTTTACAACATTAATTTCACTTTTTGGAAGGAATAATAAAAATAAAATGGAAAAGGAAAAGCCAAAAGGAAATTTACATTTTTATCGTAAGATTACAATCAAAATTCTTTTTCCTCTCCTATTTTTCTTGACTTTCCATTGTTCAAAAATAACCTTTAAGATCTTTAAAAAGGAATTTTCTGTTTTTTTTTCGTTTGTTAATTTTTTCCCTTTTCTTTTTTTGTTTTTGATGCTATGGACCGTCGTATACAAATACATTCATAAGTTACTTTCCTTTTGCAATGTGAAATATCCTTAGATGCCCTGATTAGAAAACATTTTATAAAAAAATTTCTCAAAAATGTGTTTGTTTTTTATTTTTGGTTCTTTTATTTTTTTTTCGTTCATCGTATTTTCTTTTCAAAGGTTAATCGCATTATTTGAAATTTTTAGATCCTTCAAGAAGGCAGAAAAAAAATGCTAGTAGAAGAAAGATACAAAATGGCTTAGAATTATTCACTTGATTCATATCGTAAAATTCGTATGAGCTATCATATGTTTATATTTTGGAGCCATAATTGAACAAAAGTGCTCAATCGCAACAATTTTTATATAATCAAAATTACTTGCTCATA